GGATCAAGTATTACGAATAGCAATATATGTTCTTGAATATTTTCACGAAGAACACAATAATTTTCTTCAAATTACCGAAATATCATGATAAATCAAAATTCAGTTTTTATTTTATTTAACTTTTAAATTGCTTTTTATTAATGACATTTTTATTAAAATATGAAGTTACCATTTTCCCTTGTAAACTTAAAGATCAAAATTAATTATTAAGTCTCGCTTCTCCAACAAAAAATTATTTGAATGTTTAAATTTTCAGATGTTAACTAAAAAATTAAGTACCTACTGATTTGGAAAAAAAAACTTTTATTTCTATTCTCAGTAAGTTCAACAATTTAAGCATCGTAAAATAAAAATTTGGCAACTAAAATCTAACAGAGGCCGGAAATAACACCTTTCAAAACATTAAACCGCTTTCTACATAAAAAATATACAGGAAGTACACAAAAACAAAAGTACTTTACCTATTAATAAGTACAAGAAATATCCAAAGTGCAAGAGTATCCTGTTCTTCCTTTAGATTCAAACTTTTTTTTATTATTTATAATACTGAAGCACCAATTTCCATAACTAATAAAAATAAAAGATAAGGAACTCACTATTACCGTAATTGTTTATACAATTGTACCATTTTCACTATTTAAACAAAACTTAATAAACACCAACAACAAGTGGAAAAAGAACTTCTTCGGAATTTACATATCGCGTCTGAAGCACATCCGTTTTTTCTTTCCAAGTAGCACAATTAGGAATAGGACAAAAAAAACAACGTCAAAATACAATACTTTTACCGGCTATACATGCGTACTAAGCAAACTCGGCGACTACAACAAATAATATACACAATAAACCACGACGGTGACGGCTGCTTTCTCTCTAATGCCAACGAAATTTATTGTTAAACTCATCTGCGAGCGCGAGTAAAACGCATACTACATGGACCGCGAGACTCCTACCATCTTATCAACGAACGCGTGATGATAGTAGTCGTTAATCTAAATTCATCAAAAATTTATTGATTTCTATCCACTAATAAAACGAAAATATTCGAACAAATATTTTTATTATCAGTATCGCTCGTGTATGGGAACAAAATGTTGGAAAAGAGTGAATATAAAGATGGGACAAGAAAAATTAAGTCACTGATTTTCGGTATTCAGGAAATCGGATAATTCAGGATGGAAGGAACAGTAGAGATATAAAAAAAAAGATAGCGCAGGATTTTCAGGAAATCGGATGGAAGGAGCAGTAGAGATATAAAACAAAAGATAGCGCAGGATTTTCAGGAAATCGGATGGAAGGAGCAGTAAGGAGCAAAAGATAGCGCAGGGTTGAAACTCTTTTACAAAAAAGTCAATCCTATGCTCGCGAACGTTTAGAAATTCGAAAAAGATTGTTAATGGTGTAAATCTGGAGTTGAGAGGAGTAGAGGTAGATCTATATCGGGTTACTGTTCACAAATAGTTAAGGATATGGGATGTTATAGTTTTCTTCCCGTCCAACCAGTCTTTTTAGGACTGACAACCCTATGATGATAATGAAAGTGAATCATATATGCAACTGAATTAGTTGTGTTGTGGATAATCATTTCAGGCAATGGCCGATTTTGGGATTTACATTTGAATCAAGTTCTTTTTACCACACTTTAACAATCACCCTGTTTACATATACACTATATCCGGGTGCGTTTATATTCTGTACGTACAATCCTACATGAAACATTGAAAGAATATGAACATAAAACATAATGATTGTGGATGCAAACAGGTGAGTATAATAAACGGCACGTAGATAGTATAAAAACAAAACAATACAAACTTGAATATTGTTAGAAAATTTTCTTTAAAAACAATTATTACTGAATTTGAATGCTGTAAAAGAACAATAGGTACAATTTCTACACATAACTGGTTAATATAAGCTACTTCGTTCGTGTTGCCTTTTCCTACTACGAATCTCGAATTAGAGAAAATTTGCAGTTAAAGGAATGGAGAAGTTTGAGTTAAGAGTTTGAAAATAATCAAATCAACAAATACATGTTAAAGGAACAATTATTCGAGTTGGAAAAGATTTAGAGGGTTAAAGTGCGACTGTATCTGTAGTCCTAGTCTATGAAAGTGATATTATTGTAATTCTATGTTATTACTTTACTTTCTATTATGTCGATAAATTACGGTATCAAAACTGTTCCTAATGATTCATTCGAAATTTTGTCGAACACCACACGTGTCCAGAAAACTATAATTACTAATTATGCCCATTGTTTGTTAACAAATATCGAACTATATACCAGGAAGTTTTTATCTTGTCGCCATGTTTATTGTCTTCTTTAATTACCAAAGTACTTATTAAGACACTATAATCCCGTTATGTACATCACAAAAAATTAAGAGATATAAAGTTTTGTTTGCTTCCTCAAAAAAAGCGATTTAGGTGCAGTATCTAAATTTCAATATATTAAAGTTAAAATTAAACAAAAAAAAATGAAAAAAGTATCAAGAAATAAACGAATCTCTATGCACCTAAATAGGTACTACTAATTTGAAATGTAACCGAGGTATTTTTTAATTTAAAAAATTTAAAAAGCATTTCGTTACATTGTTTTTATATAGCCTTATAAATAAACATGGGTAATAAACATTAGGTAACAAGGAAACTCGTGTAGGTACTTTCTTACATGAATTCCTATAAAATTTTTATTGTAGTTTTTGCTCTAATAAATAGTCTTCCAGTATTTTGTGTATCAAGCATTCTTTTGTGTCCCACCCCTTCTACACAAATGTAAAGTGTGATTAAAATCGTTTTAAACTTTTAAAGCATACTACAATGCAAACAAAGAGAAGACAGACTGGCTATGGTACACACGATGCTAAGAAATAAGAAGTTATTTTATCACTTCCAACAAAGCGTTCTTTGTCATTGTCATTACAAAATAATGATAGTATTCACGTATGTACACATATAGGCACATATTTAATAAGTACAATAAATAAACAAACTAAATGAAGTGTTTTAATCCACTGATTAAATTTTTGTCAAAAGTCCCCAAAAAAACGTTTAAATACTAATACACAACTTCCTGTCTCAAAGACCATGTTAGTGACGAAGTCCTATCGTACAATATGAATATTGTTATTGTAGACAAAGCTGGCATGTTTTACTAACATGCTGCTTTAAGCAGATAGTGACTTCCATTACATCTGAAGTACTTTTTATTATCAAAATACAGTCCGCATTTGTTAATTTCCCTTAAACATTAAACAAACGTCAGGTTTGTATTAACAACTAATAACTACTCAATAGAACCACTCAACTTTTTTTTACGAATTATCTCGTCAACAAATTGTTTTTTTACTTTTCTCTTTACAGTAACGTGTCTGTTATATTTGAAGATAGGTACAACTGCATACTAAGTAGTACTATTTTCATCTTTTCTTTTGTTATAATTATCGGCCCAGCTTAATTAAGATATCATCATTAGTACTCGGTAATGCCTTCAAAATGGTACCTGTTTTATTTCCGTGTTTATAAACTTTTTAAATTTTGATAAACGATAATAGCAATAAGTGTTTTAATGCCTTCGGCTGTAGAGTTACTTATTTAAACATTAAAATTAGCGCCATCTAACGAATTTAAGACCACAACACTTTGATTAAGTTTTGTAAAACTTCAATAGATGGCATAAACTAACGTCACATACTAGGGAAGTTACCATTAAAGGATCAAATGTTACACGAAACTATTCCTTGTAAACAATTAACTTGATTTCCTTATTATATTAATTTTAAACTTGGAAAAATGGACAAATAATATAAAAACTATTAATAAAATCATAATCATGTACGCGCATTCCCTTACAAATTGGGAAGAAAAAGAAATGAGATCCTTTAAAATCAATTAAGATTCAGATAGGATCTATTACAAAATTTCAAGTTATGATTCATAAAATAAGTATCTACCTATATAACCCTATTACACAGATATATCTGTTAATATTTAGATACAAAAACCTATTCTGTTCAAATAGGTAGGTAGGTATGTCTACTCATGCAGACAGCCACACTAGAAATTATTTTAAGTTAGGAAAATGCACATTCGTTTTCTAAAAGAAAATAAAAGTATATAAAAAATACAAAACAGTCACAGACATTTTCATTACTGTTCAAGTAAGAACAATACAGATCAGGTATAAAAGAGGCTGTTGTTATCATACTCCCTTTTATATATGCAAAATACTCAATTTCTAAAAAGTTAAAAAAATAATTTAACCTTCATTCATCCCACGCAAATTATATAATTAGTACGTTATTTATTAAATGGGCAAAACTGCTTATTATGAACAGTTGCATTGAAGATAAACCTATAGCAATTATAGTTAAAAAAAAAATTAATTATTACAAACATTCTTTACACATACTCAAGTCATTAATAGCGAATAGTGACTGAGCTTTATTGAACAATAATAACTCAGTTAACTATATACACATTTGTTACAGGCATACATGAGTGTTACCCCTTGCTGTAGCAAAGTAAAAATACAACTATTTTAGAAACACTTACCATAACAACCTAAATGATGAGAGTTTCTTCTTGCTTAAGCTCCAAAAGCACATAAATCAAAATTAAAACTAACTCGTTTTTAAGACTGTAACTTGTATATTTTTAATAATCCCAAGCTGCCATTTTGAGGATTGTTTTGATCACTTTTGATCACACTCGCACATACATCTTGAAGTTGAAGCTCTCACATCTGCAATTTCAAGGACGTGGCATTTATTAGTGGTAACTAAAGTAACAGGATATAATAAACCAAAATAAATTATTACTATCCTCTCTTACAAAATATTACTATAAAAACATTAAGTGTGCTAAATAAAGTAGTACTTAGAGTGTCTTTAAGTTTTTAGAATGGTACAGTTACTGTATGAAATAATGTAAATCAAATACTGCAAGCTTAGTGCATTCGCTCGTCTAGACACAGTTGAAATGATCATTTAATTTCTTTGACAGGTAGCCGTCAATTACATAACCCCACAACTTTTGTCAATCCTTCCTGCATCATTTTAGTGTAATTAGAGATTAAAAAATATAATAATGTCCAAACGATTAATACCAAAAGCATTTAATTGGAGTGCTTTAGCCGAAAGGGTGCCTCCTCATCAAAAGCAGCAGTTTAATATGTTCAAAGTTCTTTCCGAGGGTTACCTATCGCGGTACGTAACCAATATTTTAAGTATTACATAACAATTTTTTTTGTCAAAAGGTTAATATTCTAAAACGATCTTAGGGTTCTTGCTTACCCAGAGGAGCCACCGAAAATCGACTGGACTAGTTATGAAAAAAACATTCATTTGCCTGGACTAGTTGCAGACTTCCGAAAGCAGTATGAAACATTAAAAGTCCCTTATCCTCCAGATACAGTAACTAGTAAAATTACTGAGCAAGAAAAACAACTTCAAGTTGAAATTCAGAACATTAAGACCGAATCTAATGCACGAATTGCTGAGTAAGTTCTACTGGTTGTGAATAATTCATTTTCAAATTTTTAATGTTTCAGATATAAGAAACAGATTGATCATTTGCTTTCCCTCTTACCATTTGATCAAATGACTATGGAAGATTTCAAAGATGCTTACCCAGATATTGCTATTGATCCTCTTAATAAGCCAACATTCTGGCCGCATAACCCTGAGGAACAACCAGGCTATGTGGATAAAGATGCTCCTCAATCAGGACACTAGATATTCATTTGTAAAACATTTAGCAGTTTTTAAATATTACGTATTAATTGATTAAGATTGAAAGTTATTTAAAGGATGTATTCATTTTTCTGTTTCATGATTGAAAAATAAATTACATATAATCCATAAAACAATTTTATTAAAAATTTGTATTTGTACCTTTTCAGGAATTGCATAATTATTTGATATCATTTATTCGGCCCCAGCCTAATCTAGATTTCCTAATTTCTTCTTTCAACCATGATGGAACATATCCCTCAAAATACCTAGCATTTGGATATGGTAAAGGTGGAGGTGGGGCTTTGAAAGGGTGTACATTTTTTAATTTCCTTTCCAAAAATTCTTTATTAATTTGTTTAGGATCTCTGTATTTGTCCATGTATATGTTAAAAGGTTTTCTTTTGGGAAACCACTCTTGAGGTCTGATATAAGGAGGAGGGAAATCATATTCAAATATTGGCTCTCTCATATCTGTTACAAAAAAAAAAAAATAAGAACAAAAATATTACAATATGTCCAAATTATATTATACACGTACTCAATTTATTGTGAAAAAAGTCTTTTAGACTTTTGTCCCAATCAGACTGGAAAAAAGCTAATCCTGCAGGAGTTATGTCATCTTGCCTTTCTTTATAGAAGTCATAAGTTTTAAAATTTCTTTCTGCTAATGTTAAACTGCAACACAAATCTTAAGTTAATAAACAATGACAAATCTGTTTATATTTACCCTGGCCCATTAATTTTATAAGAGGAAAAATCCAATAGCTTTTCCTGTTTGTACAAAATAAATATGTATCTGTGGAAGCCAGTACCCTTAGGAGGAATAGGTTGTAAATACTCAACAACAGTTTCACCATCTGTTATCTTGTTCCCAGGAATATTCCCTCTGAAAATTTCAGTAAAATATCAAACGCTAAATCGAATTACCCTCACTGTAAAAATTGTTTATTTTCGAAATTTAAGCGTTTTAGAAAACATTATGCAACTATATATCTGTTCAAATTCAAGCAAAAATCATAACATGTCAATTTCATTTATCTTAAAGTATTACCTACTGTGTACCTGTACTAAATGAGTAAGGTATGAACATTTATTTTCAAAATATAAAACGTTTTTCGTGATGATCTTAATTTACCAATTTGTAGCAACTAATCGAAATTTACTCACACAAACCAGTGAATATACTCTGCATTCTGCTCTGTGAAATTACCATCTGGGCATGTTAATAAAACTGACCACAAAGTACCATCATTAGCATCATAATTAACAATTGGCTTCTTTGCAGCTTCAGAAGGTTTAATAACATTTCCTGAATAAACAGGTAACACAGCAGAGTCAAAAGAATATTGAACTTGTAATGGAACTCGAGGAACAAAGTAAGCATCCCCAAATAAATGATCAAATATACTAAAATGTGTAGCAATTTCTTTTAACTGATACTGAGCTGCACCATTAGCACCGACACTCTTAACTTCATCGAGTTTTATCAACCCTTAAATTACCATCTTAGAGAGAACTTTGCTTGAACCAGAATAAAATATCTACTCACAATTTTTTGACTTCGATAATTTTTGAAATTGTGGATCATTTCTTCTAGCTTTGAGAAATGCCATTCTTTTTCTACGTTCTTCTCCGACAGAATAAGACCGATGGGGTAAACCTATGTCTACTTTATAATACAATTTGGGATCTTTGTAATTGATTTCTACAATCAATAATAACGTTGTTACGAGGTAAATACGTATAAATTAAAAAACAAACCGGCTAATCGTTGCTCTAATGTTCTTGCAACACCTGGTGGTTTTCCTCTCATATGATGGCCATGCCTTACAGATACACAAATAGTGCTGCACAATTTCGAATTAAAATTAGCATTTAACAGCTTACAACTATTAGAAATCATTACAATATATTTATTAATTCACAATTCTTTACAACCAACCACATAAATGATCTTAAAAGAGGTTATATTTACTTCATAGACCTATTATCTATGTTCATAGACATAGACATATACTCTAGCAATTACCATAGTCTTAATATGTAGCTACATTACCAAACTTCATATTAAATACAATAAAAATTAATGATACTTTGATTGTTGTAAAGAAAATATTAATGCAGTGATTATATTAAAATTTGGTGTCCTATTATTAGAATAAATCGTAATTAATAATTCTTAATCGTATTAATCATAAGCCGTTACAGGTTACATGGACATCTAGACACACTATAATTTAAACTTCAAACTAATAAACGTTTTAACCTAAAAAATTACAAATATGCATAATTAGTGCTAGAATTTGTGCTTTTTATTTAATTTTGTGTTTGTTTAATTGTTTACTGTTTTTAATGGATGATATTCACGATTCTACCATTTACGATAAATGTAAATATAAAGTAAAATTATGGGAACATCAATTTAAAAAACAACACGGTAGAATTCCATCCAAGGTAAGATAATTTTTTAAAAGTAATAGAAGTAATTGATTTCAATGGAATTTGAACATTAGTTAGATATTAGGGAAGCTGATAAAGACATACGAGAAGCATACAAAACATATTTTCATCTAAAGACTGCTGCTCTCGAAAAAAGTTTACAAGATGTGGATTTATTTTCTGATGAAGATTCATCCTCAATACCTGAAAGTAAAGTTTCTACTAGTGAGCTAGAAGAAAATATTTCCAATTCTACAAATGATAATTCCCAGAATAATAAAGTTTGGGGTAATCATTTACTTAAGAAAGAAAAGGAAGTACAAAAGGAAAAGAATTCTACAAATTTGAAATCTTCATTTACTGAGAAGTTGTTAAAAAATGCAAAACCACTAAGGAGATTTCAACGAAAGTCGTTATCATTTAATAAAAGGAAAAGTGAAAATAATTTAAATGAAGAAAAATCTTTGTCTCAGCCTAATCCAGTTGATTTTCAAAATTGTTTTCAAGGAAGAGACTGCACTCATAATGATAATAATTGTAATAACGATCCTATTCTTTCAAAATGTACAATATTTCAAAAGCCTTTGGAAATTAAATCAACAAATATTATTCAGAGTATACTAAGTAATAATTACAGGCAAAGGGAAACAGTTGATAAAGACTGGTTAAATAGAATAGTGTTACCTGAACTACAAAGTAATAGTGAAAAAGAAAACACTGACTATAATAGTGATGATGTTATTGCAGAGTCAGATGAAGAAGAGGCTTTGCATGTTGTAAAAAAGTCAAAAATTATTACAAATAAACTTTCCAGTTGTAGGAAAGAATCATCAAGTAAAAACATCGAAACAGAAAGAAGTATAGAAGCCACTAATAGTTCACAAAAAAATGTAAATGTATCTGAAAATTTTAATCCCAATGAGTTGACAGTTACAGACAAAAATACAAAATTAAGGCATACATCTCGTAAAATAAAATTAGTTAGTTTTAAAGAAAGTAGTGATGAAGAAGATGATCAATACATCTTTAAATCAGATGATGAATCGTCCCATGAAGAAAAGAAAGAAAAAATAAACAAAAAGAGGCATTGTATCGCTTCAGATAAAAAAGGAGTAAATAAATCAAAAGAGTTTAGCGTGGCTAAAAACGACAATTACGAGTTAGAATATTCAGTACAAACCAGGATAAGTTCAAATCCTAGAATAGAAAATGTAAAAAAAGTAATTTCATCTGCCATAATTGTAAATAAAGATTTAAAAAGAAACAAATTGCCAGTTGAAGGACTGAGCAATTCAAAACAAATAGATTCTGTGAAAGAATCAGTTGCTGAACGTAAACTTTTGAATAAAATAGAGTCTGGAAAGCTGAACGAAAATTATATTTCCTTAAATTTAAAAAAGAAAATATTTGTCCGTGGCAAAAAGAATACAAACTTCAGCAAAATTAAAAAAAAGCAGTGGAAGGACAAGAAAAAAGAACTGTATGGAGTAGTTACTAACAATTGTTCTACTGATCGTCAAATGTGCTTCACTTGCGGCGAATCAGGGCATTGGGCTAGAAAATGTCCGAACAAGAAAGGTGAAGAATTGTTACCTTTGGAAGCTGACACTGAAGAATGCGTGTGTCCTACATTAGAAGAAGCGACCGAAATGGCAAGAACTAGTACATTGATAATTAGAACACCAAATTTTGAAAATTATCGCAGTAACAAAAGTTCAGAATCTAATCAGAACGTCTTAACAGAAGAAGGAATAAACAACGAATGTGATGACGCAGATGATTTTGAAGATAACTTACCCATTGAATTTTTAAAGGAACTGGACAAGTTGGAAGAAGAAGTTCGAAAGGTCGATTTGAAGAAATATATCGACAACACAAAATTTGTGGAATCGTTTTATAAATTGGACGATGGAAAAATTATAGGTATGAATGGAAGAGAAATAATGCAAAAGTATTTTAGGGCAGATTATTTTTATTTTCAGAAACTCCTCAGGAAGTATTCAAAGCGTTGACAAAATTTGGCTTTTCGAAATTTCGCGTTGGCCAAGAAAAGGCAGTAATGAGAATTTTATCAGGTCTTTCGACATTAGTTACTTTAAGTACAGGCGCTGGCAAAAGTTTGTGTTACCAATTACCGGCTTACTTATATTCTAAAAGAGAACCATGCATCACCCTTGTGGTGTCGCCGTTAGTATCTTTAATGGAAGATCAAGTGCAGGGTGTGCCGCACTTTCTGAAGGCCGCTTGTCTTCACACGGGACAAACGAAAACACAGAAAGAGAAAGTACAAGCTGCTATCGACTCTGGGGAGTTAGATGTATTATTAGTTTCACCAGAAGCGATAGTTGCTGGGGAAAAGTCTACCGGTATGTGTAATTTGAAATTTTATCAAAGTATCATCTGCCATTAATTGTTTCTTTAAATTATTTAACTGTAGCATCATTCCTTTTTAAATCAACGCCTTATGTCTCGATAATATATATTATTTTAAATTGCCTATATATCTTTCCAAATACATTTCTGAAACCAGTTGTTTATCCAGGATTAGGTACTCTACTCCGGAAACTTCCACCAATAGCGTTTGCGTGTATAGACGAAGTCCATTGTGTGTCCCAATGGTCACACAACTTTCGCCCTTCTTATCTAATGATATGTCGCGTATTGCGTGAACGCTTCGGTATAAAAACATTGCTTGGTTTAACGGCCACTGCTACCCGAGCCACGTGCGAGAGTATAATCGAACATCTTCGTATACCTGATGGTAAAGACGGTGTCGTGAGTGAGATCCCGTTACCAAAAAATCTTAATTTATCGGTATCTCGTGACGTTAACAGGGATAGCGCCCTCTTACACTTACTGTCTACCGAAAAGTTTGCCGAATGTAAAAGTATTATCGTCTATTGTACGAGAAGAGAAGAATGTGAACGTGTGGCTACACTGGTCAGGACCAGTTTAAGGGAGCCAACAGAAAGTGGGAGGAAACGGAAACGGTACAGCGATTGTGCAGAAGCGTATCACGCAGGATTATCGGCAGCACGAAGGAAATCAATTCAGAAAGCTTTCATGAATGGTGAATTGAGGATTGTTGTCGCTACTGTGGCTTTTGGTAAGCATTTCCGTTCTCTTTATTTCTTGACACTTTTCAATAGAAAATATAGTCCGAAATATTATCAGTTTAACTTTTTGGGAGGAGGCACATAACCCCTACAATCCCCCTCTACTTTTGTTAACCCGTTTGTCTTATATTCTGTTAAATTCAAGACTACTGCACTTTTGGAGTAACGTTTTTCTATTTATTCAAACGTTAAAATATAATGTCTATCGAAAATACTAATACTAATGACAATTTTATTAGGAATGGGTATAAATAAAAGCGATATTAGATCTGTTATTCACTACAACATGCCCAGCAGCATAGAAAGTTATGTTCAAGAAGTAGGACGAGCTGGTAGGGATGGTTTACCATCTTTCTGTCATTTGTTTTTGAACTCGGAGGTAAAGTTACATTAACGTATAATAAATAGATAAATAGTACTACAATATTAATTTTTCAAGAGCAACGACGAGTTCGAATTACGCCGTCACGTTTACGCAAATACCGTCGACCGTCATGCCATACGAAAACTTCTTCAACGAGTTTTCGTCCCCTGTTCGTGTAAAGGTCAATGTACCAAGCATGAAGTGGCATTTTCTATTCAGGAAACGGTAGCGGCTCTCGACGTCCCCGAAGAAAACATAGAAACCCTGTTGTGTTACTTGGAATTACACAAGAAAAAGTTTATCGAAACATTAAGCCACGTTTACATTAATTGTAAACTCGTTTCTTATGGTGGAGTAAATGTCATTGCCCACGCATCCAAAGATTGCATTCCTCTCGCAATGGCTTTGGCTTTACACAAAGATAAAATTAAAGGAAACATTTTCGAATTTCCAGTTGTTGACGTGGCAGCTGCAATCGGTTGGGATAGTGGCATTTGTAAGCATAAACTGAAGAATCTAGAATGGGTAACAGGTTAGTAAAAAAAATCGACTTCAACTTGAGAATTTCTGTTCAAATATTTTAATTTATTTCCTTTATCTTTATTTTTTTATAAACGGCGTCGTTAATTGTTTCAGTCAATAATCAGCCAACAAGATCAAAACTGAATGTCCAATTTACAAATTTGGGTTTTCGTGTTCTTGCTCCTGGAAATTTGTCTGATAACGAGCTCGATGAAGCTCTAGAATATCTTTCCCAAAGAGTTCAAGAACAAGAGAAAACAGCTCTTCTACAAATAAAAAGTGTCCAGAATGCATTGGCTTCGATCGCGGTGCCTTCGGTAAAATCTGCACCTGTTTTGGATCATCCTCTTAAGGATTCAATATGTGATTATTTTAATAAATCTGCGCCGTTAGAAAATTTACCGGAGACAGAACCAGAACCAGTCGACATAGATCGTATAGCTTCGGATGCCAGGGCTTTGATTAATAAATATAGCGACGAAAATTTCACTGGACGGGCAATTGCTAGAATTTTTCACGGAATCCAAAGTCCAAATTATCCTGCATTTCAATGGGGACGTTGCGGATTTTGGAGGACGCATCTCAGAAGCGATTTTAATATTGTTTGCGAGATTGTAACTAAAGAAATTCTTAGAATGAAAGCGGGAACTGATTGTTTTTAATTGAATTGTAATTAATGACCAGGATTTTGTTTATATGGATTTTAATAAAGTTTATATTTCAATTAGTTCTGTTTTGATCTGCGTATATAGTGATAATCAAAGGGTACATTCACTTTTAATTACGATTGATATTTTTGATGATTTGAAGTTTTCCACACATGTAGATACCTTTAGTTAACGAAATGCTCATCTACAAGAACTTGAGATTTTCGCGTAATACATGTGTTCCTATGTTGCACATTTTAGTCACACACGCGTAAATCGTGCAGTTAGTCATCCCGTAATTTCTTTTTAATGTACGTAGACTATCGAGAGCTTTAATTTCATATTAATATAGCACATGTACCTGCGATCTATGCAAACGCTACTTTGCTACTGCTACTACTACTTGCTATTATGTATACATACATGTACGTGGATTCATGAAATTGAGGGAGCAGTGGAGCAGAGCTACAGGGTGGACGTCAAATTCATTATCGTCATAAGGTCGTCAGTCCTAAGACTCTCCTCTACTCCTCCTCAACTCCTGTTTCTGTCTCTGACTAGACCTTCATGCCTGAGAAGGTATTCTACCGACCTATCTGGCCTATTTTTTTATTGACTTCCATACAGTCTTCTGTCCACCTATTCTTTCTAACCTTCTCTATCCACGGTATCCTCATCATTCGCCGATAACACTACATTTCGAACGCTTCTAACCTTTCTTTTTCCGTCGCGCTCACCGCCCATGTTTCGCACCCGTACAGCACCGCGCTCCAAACACATTTTTAACAATCTTGTTCGAATTTTTTCGAACGTTTGCCAGAATAAAAGTGACGCCACGTTGTGCTAAAAATAAGAAAATTATTGATGTATTTTATAGTGTAACTGTTTTTCTAATCAATTATTTACTTTTTAGTTTAGCAAATTTCGATTATTTTCATATTTTATACACGACATGACAAGTGGAATCTTAATTCCTTTGAAGGCCAAGCTTCTATTTTAATATAAAAGAAAAACCTGCTTATTTTCTTTACATTTTCCCCTTGTTGCTTCATCATGAATAGTTTGAATAAACTTATTAAAAAAATAAAAACGTAAAAGAATTTCAACTTTTATATAAGCATGTAAGTTTTAAAACAGTCTAAGTATAAAAAATATGTATAATGATGATAATGTAACAATAAAATGAAAAACAAAAACATATAAAAAATACAAAAAAGAAGTTAACGCCCGTTTTTAAAATATTGTTTCGAAGAATCCCAATTGTCCCATTTTTTTATTTCTTCGTATAACATATCACCAGGACTTCTCGTAGGTGAAAGCTGACAATGACCAACTAACGAGTAATTTTCTGCAATGGCCCCATTGTTTACTCCTAACGCAATAAGCTTTCGAGCTTCAATTATTGCCTTGGATGGGGGCAACTTATTTACAAAAGTGCCAACAAATGCGATGGCAAATGAATCTGTATTATAACGATAAGTATGTGCCCCGACAACATTAAACCCTCTACCTTCATATATTTTACCATCACTACCAACCAAGAAATTGTAGCCTATATCATTCCATTTCCTACCTTCTATGTGAAAATCCTGAATTAAACGTATAACGTACGTGTTTTCTGAAACGCAAAACCCCTCTTCAGTTGCGGTATGACCTAAAAATGAATTTTGTTATTCATTAACTCCTACAATTGCCTGAATTTATTAAGCTATTAAGCTCGATACACCCCTTATCTAAAATATCTTTGAATATAAAATAAATTTATATTCATTAATGCTTTATTTACTTACAAATTATTACATATTTTGCTGGAGCTTCCAATAATGTATGCGGTTCTAGGGGAGGCTGTGCTAACCAACTTCTACGAGAGATTATGTGAACTGTATCGTTATATTTATTTTCTAAAATTAAAAAATGATGCTTTTGTTCTATTCATTTTAATTATAAATTGAAGATGATACCATTCAAGCGAACGTCATTAGCATCAGATTCAGAGTTCTCGCAATTATTTATACTTAATACATTTTTAATTATATTAACAGGAGCATTAAATTGAAAACTGGGTCCAACATGCACCCTTTTGGAATTAGTGATCGCAATGTTTCTGTATTTACCACTATCGCTATAATTTCCCAAAGATGTCATCAACTCCTAAAAATGTGGACCTATAATAGTAGATATCCACTCAAAACTCAATTAGAAAAGTGCCTCCGATACAAAACCGTGCCTTAAAAATTAGTTTCACCCTTAATAATTTTTCTTTGTGTTTTAAGAGTACCCATACAATCAATCCGCATTGCCTTGTTTAAAATAAATAATTAAGTTAGATTAGTTACCCAATAATTATCAGTAAACCGATTGCATTCCTGACCTTTAGACAAGTTGATTAATTAAGAACAAGTGAAAGTTTTTTTATGAGTCACTGGTTCTTTATTCTAATACTAAACATATCAAAATAATCATTTAAAACCAGATAAATAATGTCTGACGGGCTGAATCTATTAATAAATAATAATTGAATTAACGAAGTTTCCAGGTATTAAACTCCATTATTATGAAATAGATAGAAAAATAATATAACAAACTATTAAAAAATCTATCAAATGTAGAAACACTCACGTTACTATTTATCAAGCACAACTCGTCTACAATACTGGAGTCTTCAGTAACTGATGTAGAACAATTAGAACAGGAACATTCAGAACTCTGTTCACTCACAGTTTGAAGCCATTCCACACATTTTTCAATTTGATTCTTTTCTACTTTACACCCTTCAATTGAATTTGTATCGTTGAGAGAAAGAGAGAGCATTTTTTGTTGAATTTGATTATTTTCATTAAGTTCACTGTCGTCCATTATTTTTATTGTGGTGATATCAGATTTGAAATACGAACTGAGAATAGCAAAAAAGTAATGTTTTTATGTACACGTGAAATGAGATAAGATTACGTATTCGTGCTAAACTTACATATTTAAAAGGCGAATAAGTTGTATGAAACGTTTTATATTTTGTATTGCTTGATGATTTTTATGTCACAATTTGCACACATTTAACAATCGCGTATCGCATTCACCGGATGATGATGTTCTTCAATATCTCAATTTATTAGTGCTATGTTACTGTGTGAATAAATAAATAAATACTTACAATTTGTGTTATAAACTGTACTTTTAATTTAAACAATCACATTGATAAGATTAACACCTGCATATTGCACGAATTGCATGTCACGTTTGGAAGAGATTTGGATGCTGGCCGCGTGAGAATACATATATGAATTTGATTGATATGTAAAGTTTTAGCGGCTGGAAGATTTGAATTTGGTTGGTTGGGAATTTATCAAGAATAAACGGAGATAAAGGTATAAATGGCAGCGAATGTATCTACTACAAGGAAAACACAAACTCCACCTACTACACAAAGAGCACATCATCACATATCAAAGCAATATTCTTCGCCATAATTACATAAGTATGCCACATTTCGAAAAATTGCACTGTATCCCAAGTTACTAACAACGATGCGCAAATAAATAATAATTTATCAAATAACCAAATCCAAAAAAGATTAACCACACAACACCACACACACCCATGTACTATGGACAATCTATAAATCAAGCACCACCATCCACCCGGGACAAATAACAGACTTTGGTTTAAAGAAAACATCTTTCAAACCCAGAGAAACACCACCATTTTTTACAGATATAAAAATCAATTGAACAATACATAGCACACCATCAACTATTCAACTATATCTACCTACATGTTTTTTCTTTATTTAATAATCAAAATTAATAAGCAAGTGAAATGTAAATAAAAATCAAGGCACATCACAATATTTAATAAGTTAAGCTTTGCACTGGCACATTGGTTACTAATACTTATATTTTTTACTTACTTTACTTATTCTTGCATCACAGTTCACAATGTATTTGACTGTAAAAAGTACCCACCGTGTGTATGACCACAACTTCTTATGGGGAAAACCCAATAAATTGTACATTCTAGATATGACGTTTTTTAGAGATAATTCCAATAGCTATTGTGTACATGTTTGCTAAATAAATGCTATCGAAATTTTCCAGAATTGTATTTAGTCATTGCTTACGCCTTGATATATAACTAAAAATATAATTGGAAAGAGAGCAGTGCTTACTTATTATCTAACAATATTTTTGATTTTTCCGTTGAGGAAGCTTTTTCAAAACTGAAGTATCAGATATTACTTAATAAATTAAATGCCACACAGCAGATCACAGTTTAAAAATAAAAAATTGTATTTTTTAAAATAATTACCTTTAATGAAACAGGTTTCACAAAAACATAGCTTGAGTGTTTATTCTTTTGATAATGACAACATTATGGTAACACTTACTTAAGTTATTCCAAAATGGAACATAAAAACTACTTTTCTCATTAGAAATTTCTCATTCATTTCATTACAATAATTTGATAATAATTAATGATTTATAAAAAAATATCACTTTGATGGCTTAAAATATACAGTATTTACTTATAAAAAATTTGGCAGAAAATATGGATAAGAGATGTTGTGGATTTCCTTATTTTCATTAATGAAAAAATTCGGGTTCAGAATTTGTTTCCAAGATATATGACTGTATTTAAATAATCATTCATGAAACACAAAATGCTATGGAATTCAAAAATATACACATATTATGTATAGTATATTCAGCAAAGGCAACGAAAGTTATTTACATTTACATTTGCTTATTAAATTTCTGTTTAAAACAATAAAAAAAAAAAAATAAGCAAAATTATAATATATAACGTTTAATATGTCCATGTAATGCAATAAATACGAATAAAAGAAATTTGCAAAAAATAAGGAAGAGTAAATAACTTTCTAGCCATATTCAATAACAGTGCTTAACAACTGACACGTTGCAGAAAAGAAATTAATTGATATAACGGTAGAGACACTAAGCTGTATTTTTATAAGTTCATCATCTTAATCTTTATGTGACAATTGTTTTACAATAGAAAAATACATATCTCATAAATAAAATAATGACAATTACACCGTAACTACTACGGCAAATGATCATTGTTTTATTATTCCAAAAAACGAAATGGAAATTGTTGCCACGACACTTTTTGTTAGCATCAAAAACGTGTACTTACATATTATATACTTTCAATATATAATATACATATGTACGTTTATTATGTCAATTTGTAGGTAAAATTTGGTACATGAGAGTATGCATGTAGGTGCTGTGTGTAAACGAGTGTTTAACGAAACATTTACCATTGCCCTCATTTTTATCATATGATGGATAATAAAAACGTAAAATGGAATGGGAAAAACATTATTTAAAAAAAAACCCTTTCATGTTAAGGAGCACTGAAAACCCAATGAAACCAAGCTGATAAAATAATAATTAACACTGACACAGTCTGTAATGGCTTTTTTGTTTCAATAAAAGAATACGAAATACGGACAACGATCGGTGGACTGATATTAAGCGGACTTGACTGCTCTAATTCATTACACGCTATAGCACGAACAGATAGACGACGACAACGTTTCTCCCTTTCCCTTCTCACCATCTTCTTCGGTTCGAGAATGGTTCGTTACCCGAAAGACACTCGTTGGAATAAAACACCAATACCGAACTCCACCAAGTACATACTCATCATCATCCTGATCATAATTATTATCATTAGAATCGGTGCAGTGTATTTAAAAACGAAAACTTAAAAACGGAATTAATCCATCACAGAATCACTATTTCCTATTCAAAACGAACTCCTTACTTAATTAATTAAATCGCCGCGTGCACCATATTTTCGTTATACCATTTTGACCAGTTGGAGTTTCGAAAAATTCATCGTTTTTTTTATACGGGACAGCGTTAGGAGTCATCTGGTGATAATTCCATTGGTCAACACTTTAACTAGTACGGAAACGAACTGTTGTGAGGATCAATTACTGGTCATATATTGTGGCCAATCATGTGATTTTGTTTGTATGATGAAGATTCGACGTTCTGTAATATTTCAAAAAAACATTACAACACTAAGACCAAAAACGTCTTTATTCAAGTTGTGAAACATTTTTGTTGTCTTATTTAAATAACTCCAATTCTTGTTGCAAATTATTTTAATTGTATACCTGGACTGCTTTATTTACAGATTAATCACATTACCCCATTGGAACTGTTTTCCAACCGAGCGTTTATTTTTTATTCGATATAAATCCTTTTTTGCAAAGTTCACTGCTCAATTTTTAATTTTTTAAGTATTTAGTACCGAAAGCATAACAAATTTTTAACAAATACAGAACTTCCGGATTTTCCCCAACTTTTCTCAAATTTTCAGAAACAAAAACGAAAACAGGGCATTCAATTTTTCACTAAAAAGAGGAAAAAGGAAGGGAATTCTTATGTAACCTTTTTTAAATCAAAAATCTAATTAGTGCTTTTATTGCAATTGATTTAAAATAAATTTATACTTACCACGTTTTGAGTTACTGCTTGTACAGGGTAGGCAGTGGGTGGTGGTAACAGAACTGGAGTTTCGGTATTGATCATTTGGTATGTGGAAGTGGCAGCCACCGGGTCGATATCGATATTATTCACATGGTCAACGTCGTTGTCGGTCGTTTTTGCTCGTTTATTGTACATTTGCACGTCGATGTGGTTAGGGGGCGGCCTCTTGGACGCTTGTTTACTTATTTTAATGGCTAACGGATTTAACGAACTATTACTAGTATCAGTCATGTTTTGACAGTCTTGACTCTCGAAGGCAGGAAGGGAACAGGGGGGACTTGGAGTTGAGCAGTATTCCGAACCACCGGGAGATGGCAGATTGGCGATCAGATGGGCCACAGCCATTTCTAATTCGGCTGGATCTTCTACTGCTGGCACACCGACATCTTCTCTGCCTGCCTAAAAATTTAAATAAATCTTTATTTTATATATGTTTAGAGCACGTCTTCGTATGGGTGGTGTTATAGGAAATTGATAAAAATGAGGTGTTTAAAATAGTTAAGGAATGAAGGTATATCTGAAGTAAAGTAGGAGAACAAGGGAACAATAAGTATAAAGAAAGGTGGTATGAAAGGACATGTATTCAGTAATAGAACTACTTAGACTCATGCTATTCTTTTTTCGGAAATGCAAAAGATATGAATAAGTGGAAAGCTCATGTCTAACAACTCTATTGACTGACGACCTTATGGTGAGTATGGTGATATTTTGCTCTTTAGGGGTTTACTTAAACTTACAAAGTTCGTTTCGTTGGACTTTATTATGGCAGAATATTTCCGTTTCATTTCCTTTGTTAATTCTTTGCCTTCTTCTTCGTCCGTTAAAGAATTAACGCAAATGAAGCTTTCGACAACGCCACTACTGTCAATCTCCAAATAGCCATAGGTTTTTAGATAAATAAATTCACCAGTTTTCGAGAGCAGTCTGTAGCATGACATCCCTTTATTTTCACCTTTATCATACACTGAAAAAAAAAAGGAATAACGTCATAGTCTGAGCACAATAAATTGCCGAGATCAAAAGAATTTCAGTATTGAAAAAGTAAGAACTACAATAAGAGTTAAGACAAGGCACTGAATGTTTGAAACATTCTATCTACCAAATAAATGAACATGTAATATATTTCTTTAATCTAATCCAACAGTCACATGATACATTCTTAGTAGATGTTAATCATTTCTGAAATTGCGATATATATCTTTGAACTCACTTTGTCTAAGGGCAATCATGACCCACCGCACATCTTGTCGATGCATGAAATTGAAAGCACATAACCCGGACACTTCTTCACTCATATAACCTGCGACCAGAGATATTCTTTGATCGCACGAAACTATTTTACCATCCAGCAGATGTCTGGTAACGTATTCACTTTTGGATGCTTCTACAAGCCTATCCATGTAGAATTCAGGTCGATACACACGCACAAAAAAGATAAGCAACTGTAAAAAAAATACATATATGTATATAAATATCATTTTATGTCTTTTTATAAGTTATTAATATATCATGACTACATGTATAACAGTCAACGAATATATATATATATTGATAATGATCGATTTCCAAAGTTTAAACTTGTGGAACGTTGTGAACGCAAACATAACTTGGTTTAATAGCACATTACACTCTTTTATCTAGGAAAATCTTTTTGTAATCAAAATGTATAGATAGAAAGAACACAATACAAATGTACTCAAACCGCTATAGAATGAAACACTTTTTCATAACAATTTTATATGATTAAAAATAGCGAGCAGACTCAACTCGGTTTAAATTGAAATAATAAACTGTTTTGTTTTTAAATTTAGACCAGTTCACCTTTTGTTGACTGGTTTTGTGAATGGAGAAATTCCTGATGACTTATCTGACAAACTTTTTACTGTTATTAAACAAATTTTACTTTTGTAGTAAACATTGCAAAATGCAGCCTTGTGTTGAAAATGCTTACAACATAAGTGAGCGTAACATGTGCTCATGTTAATTAAGTGTTGCATTAATTTGGCCCTTTTTGTATTAATCACAAAATATCCTTTCTAAAGTTAAATACAGTTCATTTTGGAATGTCTTTTTGACAACTGAACAAAATATTACGGTAAAGGTATAGATTATCCCCTAGCAAGGGGGATTGAAAGAGGAGGTCTCCCCCACCACTGTACCATAAAAACTTTGCGGCGGTCTCACCCCCATGAAAAGTTATGGGGGCTCAAAGTTTATTATTTTGTTGATTTTCATATGCTTGTGGGTATGTTAATGTAATGTGTATATTANATTGTGTCAATACTTATCATTTTATCGTAATTTAAAAACTTGGAAATTGCACGGTACACTATAGGAACTACGATAAATTTTCCCTAATCGGCGCCATGTTTTTAGGCTCCTCCCATTTGACGGATCCCAATAGTGTATGAACATTGGAAAATTACAGAACTTTGCAACCCCATAACTTTTTATGGGGGTGTGGCCGCCGCGACCTTTTTATGGTGATTTACTCGGTAAGACCTCCTCTTTCAATCCCCCCTGCCTGAAGGGGGAGGGGGGGATAATCTAGACCTTTACCAATATTACCATTTGATCTTTTAATTAAATATTTTACACGTTTAAACAATCACAATAACAACAAATACAAATTGTATGAAAAAAAGAATTTTTGTGCGAAACGAAAACGGTTTAGGTAAAACTTGAAACGCATTATTTTTATGACTTCTACAATATAATATTGGTATTCAAAACGCATAGTGATTCATAAACAGCAAGTTCTATTACGCGAATAGAATTATTTAATAATTTCGTGAAGTTTTTCATTGCCTAAAAATGTTATAATTTTGTCATTAAATTAGATTATTGTTAATTCGATTATAACAGATTTCAATTTCACCTAAATACCCAATTGAAATTTTTTCTCTTACAGCCAGTAACGCTTGCTTAATTTAAAACAAATGTCCACTAGTACTCTGCATTACCGACCGCGGCTAAAATTAAACTGTTCAAAACACACTACGCAATCGCTTTATTAATAATTTAAACGCCCGTGATTTATTGATATTTTTATGATGCTTTATATTACGACTGAATCACGTAATAAATATACGCAGTTTAAATGTAAGTCAAGATCAAGTTAGTAAACATTAAATTTTTATATCGATTTTGCAAAATAAAAAACAATATTTCATCAGAAAAATGGCACAAATGATCCTGAAATACTCTATACCTTTATAATTACCATTAAATATTACATACAGGGTAGTCAAAATTTCTTACATACTTTAAAATACAGTCAAACTTCTGTAACTGACACTTCAATAACTTAAAATCTTCTTTGTGTTCGATTTACATTATAAATTGTTTATAATTCGAATTTCCATTAATTTTCTTCTGAAAAATCAGCTGCAGCGATTGCCATAGGCTCGAATTTTGAAAGGCGACTTTATCATCATAAATTTCTAATTGCGACACTTATAAAAAAACACCAAAAACAACAGACAGGTTAGGAACAGAATGTTGCAATAGGAAAAGGCAACACGAACGAAATACTTATATTATCAGAAATCGTGATCTGAAATTGTAAGGGTGGTTAGCGGATAATAAGTTAATAATAGTAACAGAGGTAGAAGCGATGTCTTGAAAATTACACTTGGGAGGATCGAGCTAGAGAAGTTTGACTGTATATCTACAGATGTCGTCACAGTGCCACTTTTCTGATAAGTGTAAACTAAAAAGCAAATTGTTTCAACGCTTTTTAATAATACTCGACGACTAATTTTAAATTAAAATAGTCTATGTAGTCAGTATATTTATATTATAGTTGAGAGAAATTATAAGTTACTTAGTATCAGTAAGGTGTTTTTTACAGTTACTAATATTTACAAAATTGAGTATTGAGATCATTCCGTTTTGATTTTCCAAGAAATTTAATTTCACACTTTCTGGTTGAAGAAGTAATTGATTCGAAAAGCATGTAATAATAAAACTAATATGGGTACCTACGTTATTGTGTGAGGTGCCTGCTTGAGCGAGATCCTTCGAGGTACTATAGTTGGTAGGCGAAGATCCATTGTTCTTAGGCTTAAGCAAGCCCCTAAAATTAACAGTTTCATAACTGGGTGGTTCGGTACGAGTGCCGGCTCGTTTTAATCGAATGTTGAAGTGTTTCCTCCATTCTATTGACGCCGTACTCTCGCATGTCAGGTTTAAGCGTAAAACATCATGATCTTCAGAAAGAGTCAAGTTGTACAACGATTGACCCATCAGATCGGTCTGTAACCAAGGATTTTGTTTTACAGGCAGGATGAAGTGTATAGCATAGCTGTACATTTTAAAAGTAACCACCTTATTTTAAATTTATACAAATGTGAGGGGAAGGGAGTGTCTACTTCCTTTTCTTGAGGATTTAGGTACTGCCCCATTGAGTAAAACAGGTGGCTCTGTAAAAATCAATAAGGAAAGAGACAGATGGGATTGTAGGACAAATTCAGAGCCATGAGAGGCTAGTTAGACAACTATCGGAAGCAGAATCAGGAGTAGAGAGCGGCAGAGGAAGATACTGAATATATGCATGTATTAAGTCATATGTACCAGACCATTTAACGTTATAATTAACATATTGCGTGTCATAAAAAAAACATTTCTTGTGAAAATTGTCTGCGAAACTACATTTATCAAGATCACATGATATTAAAATTTGAGAAGTCAATATTTTTATGTGTTACTGATAAAACACTTTAATAAATAGACGTCAATTTTATTCCTATGTACTTAACTGTTAGGTACACATTTCATACGTTATCTACTTAATTAAAAAAAAAAAAAACAATTACTTCAATGAGAATTTGTGTATCTTTCCTGGATTTAATTTAATCGCATACCTAACACAAATTGTCAAACAAAATAGCGTTGCCCAAAAATGTCAACTAAACTTTGTAAACTAACAGTGAAAACTGTAATGCTACTTGCCTGCTATTTAGCGTTTTGTTATTAATTACTGTCCGTGCAAATAAATCGAATGGCGATTTTTTTTCATTAAATAGTTCATACTCACATTGACAGCTTATTTAATTTGTTTTTTATCATTATTTTGTTATTTGCGATACAATTATGTAACAGTTTCACATTATTTAGGTCTCGACCAATGGATAGGTACTATACTTCGTTTAGTTTCTGTAGCAATGTGACCTTCAGTTTGACCGGCGCAAAGTAGAAAAGAACAGCATTAGGCCAGAAAAGAAAAGAGACAACTCTCGACCAAACACTTAACCGGTGAGGAGCGTATAATCCGTACAGTACTGCACGGAAAAATTGATTATTTTATCCACTACAATTGCATTGCTCAAATGTGCTGCTATTGGTACCATTTACTACTGAAAATATCAACGAGATGTTTATTTATATTTGAAGACATATTAAAGGCTTTAACGCTTGTTTTCGACTCGCACTACTATTCATGATTGAACAAAACTTTTGGCAGGTACTGTATGAAAAAGTATGTTTAATGAACAAGAGTCGAGAGTATAATGAGCTTTTTTCTTCCTACCTACGATTTTGCCAGCGCGCATCCAAGACATTGGAAAGGGCCAATCGCTAGAGAAAGTAAATGAAGTATAGTCATGGAATTGTGGACAAAACTGGTATTATCGTTTATCTATAATCTATATTTTAAGGCTTTACCAGTTAGGCCTCTATAAGTAGCCCCACAATTAAAATTTGGTACTTTCTTTGAGCTTTTTTTAATTAAATGTAATACTTTGAAGTACTTTTGGCTCGTTAAGAGTGAAATTTTAGCATAAAACGGACGTTGGGGGGCGAATTTGCATCCCAGTCAGTATGACAGCACATTCTCTGTGATATTTCTTAAATATTAATTATCATCCAATGCGTGTACAGATATATCTACAGACACCATCTCTTTTTGAACAAAACATTCCGCAATTGATTTTATATGCAAAAAATATATAATTAAGTAAATACTCGATAGCTTTGTTAGTGAAAGTTTAACGAATAACAACAATAACCGTTTATCAATTTTTGCGGAAAAAATACGAAAATACATCACTTACAATACAACTGATAAGATAGTATATAACTATAATCTTGATACAATACTATTTAATTTTTTTAAATTCATTATTGATAACATTACGGTTAGTGGACAATGCAATTGAAATTGATCGTGATTCTGTGGAAGTTATGGTAATTGTTCAGAATTGGGTCTTCAGATCAAAATCGCTCCAAAAATTTTTTCATCGTTTTCCGATCTTTCTGAATGATAGACTTAGATATTAGAAGGTGGGCGAGACAGATTTTTATGATTTTTTTTCGACTATTTTTTGAATGATCATTTTTCAAAATTGCCCCAATTCTGGATAATTACCTACATTGGTGACGTCATTGTTTGGTTAGGAAGATTAATGCCCTGCCCTGATATGTTAGAGAATTTTATTTATAGAAAGCATTAGTTTTATACATTTCCTAGTACAAAATCGGAATTTCATACATTCCTAGAATTGGTACTCCAGACCAAAATTACTCCACAATTTTTTTCATCGATTTCAGGCCATTTCTGAGCGTTCAATTATTATATTTGAGGCGGGGAAGACACTCCTTCACCTTCTAATATCTAATTCTATTACGTAAAATTCTGGACAATTACGAAGTATAACAGTAGAAGAACGTAAGAATCGTGAAAAACAGGCGGTATTAAAATATAAAATTTCAAAGTAATTCTGTAGTTTACAAAATATAAAAAATACTGAATAATAACAAACGGAATTTACCTGCATATGTCCCAACAATTGTTCAACCCCACTTGACACAAACACAATCGACCCTCTTGAAGTGACCACCAACAAAAATCCGTTCAACTGTTCGTAAACTAGTTGATCGAGAGAAGATTGGTCAATTTTTGGAAATTCTTTTTCTTTGTTACCATTGGTCAGTGCTGAAACAAAAGAATTTCTTGTAAGATTTTTTAAAGCACACTAAACAGTACCTATTTCCGGTTTTGATATTTTTAAATCATTTACTACACCAACGTAATTTTAATCGGAAAGAAAAAGGTTCGATCAGGTTAAACATTTTCATTGTGCATAAGAAGTATTGTTTTTATAAAAGATAAAAAAAACAGAAAATGCCGTGTTCATGTATTTTACTGATAAAATCGGTTAACTACACAAAAGAAATTGTAGAACAGATAAAAAATAACAAATACAATCATGCGATAAATTTGTTTAACTTCGAAAACATGTTTGCTTGAAAGGTTCCACTAGTACTCCAAAAATGACGGATAGCAAAAAAAAAATGCTACCTAATTGTAAGCATTAAAATAACTACAATTCTAGATATACATATATCCAATTTATTGGAATCATTTAAAAGAAAATTAAACTTTAAAACCATTGAGTAAAGCAGTGGGACTGTGGAAAAATATTTGGAGAGTCGCAGAACAATTGATTACAGATGAATCAAAATACAATATATTTCATATTTTGTTCAAAGATATGCCATAGATAAGTTATTAATCATTATTGATAATAAAAATAAATCTGCTGTTAGTCAAAATTATGTTTGCTTTGATGCAAGTAAACAACAGCAATTAACTCCCTTTGAATTTAAATCAACATTTATTTTAATATATACATAAATGTTCAAAGGCGGAAGCGGGTCCTTCGGAGGTTTTATGTGCACAAGAGGATTTCCAACTAAAAAGTATGAGAAGCACTTTTCTAAAGATTCCATTGTGGTTTCAGTATTTTTAATATTTCTGGAAATGATTCCCAATCGTACAATGCATTAATCAAAATGAAAACGAGAGATTAGCGCCATTTTTATTTAAATTAAAATTAAGGGAAAGCCAGGAATTGATCTCGTCCGAACGTTTTTATACATCTGTTATAGTGTGTGAAATGGTTATAATAATAACGAAAACAGGAACAAAGATATCAAAAAGGACAAAACTGTAAAATCAAAGAACACTTCGAAGAGGACCCGGCATTCATGGATTTTACCGTTCGGAGAGGACAGAAAGGGCAGAAGCTTTTGGGATATGGAAGGAAATTTCTCAAGAATTTCTAAACAAATCACCTGTATCCTGGACTAAGCTAGTACACACTGGTGGAGAATTTAGAACCGAATATAGGGATATTCCATTATTCCATGTAATTATCTAAGGGCAGCATCATTTTTTGAAAAATATCAATTCCAATAAACGCATATTAATGCTTCTACGCTAAATTATGAATTGCCAATCGTGGGGCAGAAAAAAAATTGCCGACAAAAAAATATGTAATTTTTATGTTCGGTGAACATTTTGCCTACCCTGTATGTGCATACATACACAAGATACCAAAGATGTTAAGGTGTTATAAATGCTAGATGTAATCAAATTGAGAAGACAAGTATTCAAATAAATTTTTAATGAATTCTCATTTTAAAAAATTTTTAGATGGTTCAAAACTTTCTGACGGTAGTGTACGTTAGTGTACCTATGTAGCTATATTAACGAAATCTTAAGCCTAATTGCTTCTTTCTTTATTACTTCATTTGAAATAATGTTCACAAAAACATTATTCGAAGCCCTTTGAATTCCATAAAGCCCCTTAAAAAATAGCTTGAAAAACTAAATTCAAAAACCAATTAAAGAAAAAGGTTTGTTAGGCAGAAACGTTATTCGGAACTTTAAAGAAAATATCCAATTTCTAGATTTAAATATGGTTACATAATAGCTTGCAAACTGATGCTTTCTTATAAAATAACGCGTAACTTTAAGTTTTGGCCGCGAATTATAAATGTTTGTTATTTTAAGTTTAAATTGGTACTAAAAGTAAGTATATTCCATAGCTATTTACGCTCATGGTCGTACGTTTTCGCAAAATTAAACATTCGATTACCATTTCGTTCTACTATAGGTTTTGATTCTACATTCGGTTTACTCTTATTATTATCTTATATTATTTGTTAATTGTTAGATACATGTTTGTGGGTATTTATAACTTTTGTGTGTATATGTATTTACGTCTACCCACTACGGTTAATGGTTTTGTATTCTTTGTATTGGGGGTCTCTCCATTAAATAACCACCCTCACCAATGTCCGAAACCACATTAAGTCCCGCTAAAAAAGTCGTTTGAACACTAAACACGGATTTTCAGTGAGAGGGTTGAGTTGAAACGAGCTTATGATGTTTATAAACACTGGAAGTCTGCAAGGTGCCAAAACCATACTAATAAGTTATCGTTAATCAAAACCTGGTATATTACCAACAAGCGACCAAAATTGTAACAAAATACTCTATTCACGGTATCATCATTCGCCTGTAACACCACATTTCGAGCACTTCTAACCTTTTCTTTTCCGCCGAGCCCACTGTCCATGTTATGAACCCGTAAGGCGCCCCGCTCCAAGCATACAACTTTAACACCCTTTTCCGAATTTCTAAATTACCCCTCGCGAGCATAGAAGTGACCTCTTTTTATTGAAGGCGACTCGACTCTACGCTATCCTCTGCTTTATACCTCTACTCCTCATTCCGTCCTGACTTATCTGACTTTCTAGACACCTAAATTCAGCCACTTCTTCTAATTTTTCGTCTCTTATCTTTATATTCGCTCTTTCCCTAATTTTTCTTCCTTTGCATACCAGTATTTTTGTTTCACTTTTATTTATTTTCATACTGTACTGTTTTGCCAATACCGCTCCCCTAAAGAAACAATTGGTGTATCATATCAACATTTTTATTGGACACACTAAAAACTGAGAAAACAAGAACCTACACGATCAACTTTATTTTTCATACGAAACAATTACGATTTTACTTAAATTTGCTAAATGGCGAAGCATATTCTTTAAACTATTATTTAAATAAATTCAGTAATAGCAAAAATATTTTTCGCTGTAATTTAATAAAAAAATATGCACAGACCGGAAAATATTTGGATGTCGTCTCAGCCGCGCCAAAGATCATCAAAATTAAAAGCAATAAAAAATCGTCCTTGAACATAATTACGTAAATATATTGTAGTTTTTGAAACGATACCAAATGCTAAATTTTTTTATGAAAATGAGTTTCTTATAACTGAGCCTTATAGACATTCCAAGTTAAACAAAATAAAAAAATAATAAAAACAGTAATCTTGTCTGAGGAACCCCTGGACTAAATTTAACAATATTTCTTACTTTTTTATTCATATTGACGTCAATTCTCTTCTATTGCATAACCCAAATTATTTTTAATATTACGATTTCAAGACAGTCGCATAGTAATAGTAAGTTAATGTTGACAATATTATTGTAGCAAAAATATTTATAGATCTGCTTCAGTTTGTGATCAGTTTTAGTACTTCATAAATTTATATAAAGGCATTCATCGGAAATTCATCTGTTTTTTATAGTTCTCATATGCCAAATAAATTTTGTTTTTTATGTACTACCATTGTGACGAACTGTAGGCTTACAATTTACAGGTATTTTTCATTTTGTATCTTTTTTTATTTCATTTCTAAAAAGATATAACTATTGGGTTGTTCGGAAAGTCATTTCGTTTTTTCCCGACAGAGGATTTAATTGTATTCTTTTGCACCTAACTTCACATTTAAGCCGTATAATTTTTATATGCTATGAGAGCTCATATAGCAAGGCTTGTGTGTCAAAAATTCCAATTAATTCTACGCAGTAGTTTTTGGTTGGTGCCCTTTTAAATATGGAGAGCGATAAGCAGCATTTTCGACATATCTTACTGTTTTACTACAGAAAGGGTAAAAATGCTGTTCAAGCCAGAAAGAAATTGACTGATGTGTATGGAGAAGGTGTGTTGACAGTACGCCAGTGCCAGAACTGGTTCGCTAAATTTCGATCCGGCAATTTTGATGTCGAAGATGCACCACGTTCGGGAAGGCCGGTTGAAGCTGATAAAGACGCGATAAAGGCATTAGTTGATGTGAACCGGCGAATAACAACACGTGAGATCGGATTGAGGTTAAATTTATCAAATTCAACAGTTTATGACCACTTGAAAGGCCTGGGATTATCCTCGAAGCTCGATGTATGGGTTCCCCATGTTCTCACAGAGAGAAATCTGTGTCGCCGCATTGACGTCTGCGATTCGCTTCTCAAACGTCACGAAAATGATCCGTTTTTGAAGCGCATCATCACTGGGGACGAAAAATGGGTTGTATACAACAACGTCAAACGCAAGAGGTCATGGAGCAAAAAAGATGAACCGGCTCAAACCATTTCCAAAGCCGATATTCACCAAAAAAAGGTGATGCTGTCTGTTTGGTGGGATTTTAAAGGAATCGTTTTTTTTTAGCTTTTACCGGATAACACAACGATTAATTCGGAAGTCTACTGTCATCAGCTGGACAAACTGAATGATGCACTTCAACAGAAAAGGTCAGAACTAATCAACAGGAAAGGTGTAGTGTTTCACCAAGACAACGCGAGACCTCACACAAGTTTGGTCACTCGCCAAAAGCTTTTACAGCTTGAATGGGATACAATGCTACACCCACCATATTCTCCAGACCTGGCACCATCGGATTATTATTTGTTCCGGTCACTCCAAAATTTTTTAGACGGTAAAACCTTCACCTCAAATGAGGAGGTCAAAAACCTCCTCGATCAGTTTTTTGCCAGCAAAGACCAAAAATTTTATGAGCGTGGAATTATGCTACTACCAGAAAGATGGCAAAAGGTGTTGGACCAGAACGGTCAATATATAATTTAATAAAGTATTTGTTTATTATACGAAAACTGTCTTTCATTTCCACAAAAAAAAACGAAATGACTTTCCGAACAACCCTATAGTTCAAAATTTATATCGGATATTAATATAGCAAAAATCCCGTAACTGATGAATGCAGAGATAGAGTTACATTCAGTGGCTTAACTACGAAAACAGGAGGGCCAGATGTGGTGGAAAACCCTCTTCAGATCTCTTGGGAT